CCTTCTCCCGTGGGCGGTGGGGTGATGGCCTTCGTCCTTCTCCAGGTACCTGCTGTGTGCGGCCGGAGACTTCGTCAAGATGTACAGCGTGGCCACCGAGGAGACGCTGCAGCTGATGGGGGGCCACGCCGACCTGGTGACGGACATCCAGCTCAACCCCCACAACTGCATGCAGGTTTGGGGAGAGGGCGGGTGCTGGGGGTGCTCCGGCCCCTGCCCCGGGGGCTGCCCTGGCTGTTGGGTGCACTTTGAGAACGAGCTGGGAGCAGTTACAGCGCTGTAGAGTTAATGCTTCTCTGAAATCTGCCTGGGAGGGTAAACGTTGTATCTGTTTTCCACAAACAAAAATGCGAAACATCATGGGGATCGCACTCGTTGAGTGAAACAACAGCAAAATGGAAATGTCAGCAAAACTTCCATTTTTTTTAATGACTGTAGAGGGAAGGAAGCACGTGACAAAATCAGCGATATTTGCTGTGGTTGATGTTTGCTCTCTCCACTGATGCGGGTGCAGATTTAACTAAATCCTTTTAATTTGCCCAGTTTGTCCAGCTCTCAGTTTGCTTGGGGTTTCTTTGCTGTTGCTAGATAAACGAATTGCTTGCCCAGATGGACGGCATCTGCGTGTTATCTGTGCAAAGTCTGATGCAAATGTTAATAGATGTTCACATAATGGATATCTGTGCGTGCTCTGGTAGTCTTAAGTGACTAAACACAAATACCTGTTGGCTTTTTCACACGTCCTGTAACTGTGTACTTCAAACCAGAATAACAATGCTGTATTTCCATTGCACTTTGAAGGCAGCACAGGGCTGGTCTGTGTTGTCTATTTATGATTCAGCCACTCAGAATCCTAGTTCCATTGATCAATCCTTCAAGTTTTAAGTGGTGATTTTATGTAGAAACTGACTTTAATATATTACTCTTTTTTTTTTTTTTTTCTCTCAGCTCTATTCTTCCTCTCTTGATGGCAGCATTAAGCTATGGGACTTCATGGATGGGATTCCCATTAAGGTATGCTGAGCTATTCCCATTGAGCATGTCAAAATTGTTCTTGACCCATAGATAGTAGAATAAGAATTTCTGCAGCTGTTACTACAAACAGGCACAGCCCAGTTGGAGATTTGTTGTTCTGCCATTAGCACAGCCAGAAAACCATTTATTTATGTCAGTAATAGAATGTGACAGTTGATGTGTGTGTCACTGCAGAAATTTATGGTGATGCAGAATCTTTTGGGGGAAAAGATGGTATATGCACTGATGTACTAACTTCGCTACTTGCTGCAGTTCAGAGCCCAGTGTAGCTCTTAGGGAGTGTGCTGCAGTTTGTGATACGCCAACAGAAATTGATATGATGGCTTGAAAATGTGAGCTGCTAAGTCTGCTGTTTTTCCTGTCTTCTGCTAGGTAGAGGCATTTGCCTATAGGTGGGCTTTCGGCTTTGTATTAGGGGTAAGGTACCTCTGGGTTTTTCAGTAAATGTCAAGCCTCATATATTATTAGTACCAGTTTAACATTTGTATTAGTTCTTTACAGAATAATTGTCTTCTTATTTGTCTTAGAGTTGACATTTTTAATTAATACATCAAGGTTTCTTTAAAGCATGTGTGTTTTCCTTACTGTAAAAACTTGTTGAAAACCATGCGCACAAGTGTAAAATCACTGACCACCTCCTCTTTTATTTTGTCTTCAGACTTTCGCTGTAGGACCCAAACTTCTGGCGCTGTACGCACTTCCTAATTGTGAGGACTCGGTGTTTGTTGTAATTCCAAAGAGCGGAGAAAGAGGTACAGTATGATTGGCATCATCCTTGTCATATATGTCATTCTGCATCTAAGCTGCTGCCATGTCAGTGAACAATATGCTGCAAGAATGTGCCTTAAGGCATTGATTTTGAAACTATTTCTGTGATTCTATGATTTTGTACCTCTCTCTCTTTTGTTATTTTCATTATATGGCATCTATTTTTTTTAGTATTTATTGAGAAGAGTGTTTATCCTCACTTGTGAAGCACATACTGCATGTATCTGGTGTTAAAGATGCAATGAATCTGTAAGCAGTGCTTACCATGATCGAGGGTATGCTACAGGCTACTCCTCCACCTTAAGCAGTATTAACGTAAATAGTCCTGTTTAACAGCATGCCTAAATATTTCTTCCTAGAATGTTCTGTGAAATAAATAAAAATATAGCCTGACCTTCCTCTTACTACATTGCGACAACTGTCACTTCAGAGATAAAGGAAATATACAACTTTGCTTGGTTTCTGCTTACAGTTGCACTGGTCTTTGCTATCTGTTTTTCTATCTTCAATACTATCGTTTAAATCATAGAATCACAGAGTGGTTTGGGTTGGAAGGGACCACAAAGACCATCTAGTTCCAAACCCCTTCCACGGGGAGGGACACCCTCCACTAGACCAGGTTGCTCAAAGCCACATCCAGCCTGGCCTTGAACACTTCCAGGGATGGGGCATCCACAGCTTTTCTGGGCAACCTGTTCCAGTGCCTCACCACCCTCTCCGGGAAGAATTTCTTCTTGATGTCCATCTAAACCTCCCCACTTTCAATTTAAACCCATTACCCCTTGCCCTGCTACTACATGGCCTTGTAAAAAAGATCAAAATACCTGAAGCAATTATTTTTTGAAATATACTGCAAACTTTTTCAAACTTATAAAAAATACTGGAAGGCACTAACCTGTTAGTTTTAAGGTAGAATGGGTGTAAATCCCCTTTGGAAGGGGTCTACATAAACTTGTTCTTTTATAAAGCCTTTTTATAACAGATTTTTCATTGGTCAGATACATTCCAGCTGGTCTCAGTTAAGCTGACAAAAGCAGCAGGCCAGGATGTGGAAGCCAAGGAGCTGTCAGTGGTATTGGATGGTGTGGACGCGTCACCGAAGCGTACTGCATTTGGAAGAGAAGTATACTCACCTTTTGGGGTTGTTTCTTCTGTTGGGGGTGGGTTGGTTGGCATTGGGTTGTTTTCCTCTCAAATGAACTATATGCTGTTTATGGTTTTATACCAGCACAGCAACACAGAAACAGAACTGACGTTAAATGAATCTGTGTAAGACCTAAGCTTTCTTTTCATAAAAACAAACAAACAACACTTAGAACAGGAAAATATTTACTTAGCATCAGTTTGTGTTACTTTTGATTTTAAGTACTTTGTAGTGAAACATGATTTTTTTCCTTTTATGTGTAAAAACATGATCTGTATGTCCTAAGTAGTTGTTTTACTGTCACAGGGTGAATATGTGGCATCAGTGAAGGACATTCATCTCCAGGTTTATTTTTTTAAACAGAAACAGTTGAACAGGTAGGACTGAAAGTGTCGGGAATTGATTCAGTCTGATAGATCGTAAATGTTTGTCAGCTGGTGATGTGTGCACACATTGCTGTAGATTTGTCAGCAGCCGTTTGGTTTTATGCTGGAGGGGAGGTAGTCGCTGCGTAAGAAGCTTCCCCTAGAGACAGATGGTGAGGTGCTGCAGTGGCATCGGTAGCTTGTCTCTTCAGCTCAGGCGTGTGCTTCTTTCAGGTAAATGCTTAGGCTGATATTGGACTGAAACAAGTGACATGGCTTGGGCAAGGCCAGAAGGGGGAGAAAAGGGAGCTGGAAGAAGAGAGAGAGAAAGAAGGAAAAATCCTTCAGCTTGATTGAAGGCAAAGAGCTAATGAAGGAAAGGAGAAAAATAAGTCTGTCACTATTTTACGGAGCGTGCATAACACCTTGGAGATGTTTCACTTTGCTAGTCAGAATTATTTTTATGTGCATTAGCCAATCCTTTTGAAAAGTTCTTGTTAGGTTTTTGTGTTGTTTCTTTTAAAGTGTAATGGAAGCTTCTTTCTTAACTCTTGAAGGTTTTCTGTAAGTGCAACAAAGACAAAAAGTGGGAACAATCACTTCACCTGCATAGCGTGCCATCCTACGCAGGACTGTATTGCAACTGGCCACGCTGATGGAAAGATTCGCCTCTGGTATGTGCGTTTCGGTTCAGCTGCGTTCCTGAGCTGACGTTCGTTTTTGGGGTACAGAGTGAAACCTGAGGAGCGCAGTCAATTTCATCCTTAGCGTTGCCATTTTCACAAGTCTTGGTGAGCACAGAACGGCGAGCCCTGTGAAGCTGCAGCGCTGACACTGACTTCAGACTGCAGCTTCATTTTAATGTCAGATGGGAAAACGTTCCTGTTAAGCTATGTTCTGTGAATCTAAACTGCATTTGAAAAAGGTAATGCAGGAGCAGCTGCAGTAACTCTTCGTGGGCTGCTGGAGCCCTAGGGAGAGCACGCTGGTGGAATTGCATGGTAGAGAACGACGTGCTTGCCAAGTTGCCCTGCAGCACTGAGGTGCTCGGTATGTCTGAGGTGTGGGGTGTGCACCAGGCAGGTGCTGACAACGTGCTAGCAGGGGTCCTTCCCGCCCTTTGCATCACGTGAGCATACAAGAAACTCTAGAACTTAGCGGAGAGGATGGTGCGCTTGATTCAAGTCAGTGTTTCCTTTCGCTTGCTCTGTGGTTGCTGTTGTGCCTAAAGAACTGTTCTGTTCTTCCCCACACAGGAGGAATTTCTACCACAGGAAAGAGTACACATTTACCACGCTGCACTGGCATCACGATTCTGTCATGGATCTAGCTTTTTCTATAGAGGGTGAGTAGAAAAACCACAAAAACCTAACAACCACAACACCACCACCCCACACAAAGAAAAACCCCAAGAAACAAAGAAAAAAAAATCTCTCAGAGTTGCAGCAGGGAGGGTAAGAATCAGTAGAAATGTGAGATTGTCCACTTCAACAAATCAGTTTCTAGAATTTTAAATATGTCCAGGAAGGATCTGAAATGAAAACTGAAGCAGCTTTTATTTTTTGATTGGCATTCATAATGTCAACTCTCTACCTTCTGTGTTAAAAGTAAAATCTAACTCCTTCTCTTACCCGCTTTCCCCCAACTCCACTCTCCCTCACTCCTCCCCTCTCCTGAGTAGGAAAGAACTGATGGCTTCTTGCCAGAGTCTTATTTGCATCCAGATAAAACAAGCCAGTCCTGTCTGAGCTCAAACCTTGTGGCAAAAATAGAGTTAACTTTTATCTGAATTGTGTGATCTGAACTCTTCTCCTTAGGATACTTCTTACTGCAAAGTATTTCTGGTTGATACAACAGTTCAGCTACGTTCTAACACACATACTCAGCTGATTCAGAAAGTAATGGGATCTGCTCCCAAAGCATTGTTTAGATTTTACAGTAGACACAAACTCTTTTTCTCTAACAATTCAACATGGAATAATGATAAATAACTCTGTGTATTGCCCAGGCTAGGTATGAGGAATAATGGCTTTGTATGTCATGCAGTGTAAGAAAGGGGTTTGAAACCTCTGTTTGTCTGTCAGTGTGAACACGTATACTGATGACAGTGGGGGTTTTTTGGGGTATTTTCTTTTTTTAACCAAAACTTGTAATTACGTTTTTCTTGCCGGAAAAGGAACCAGCTTGCTGAGTGGTGGAGTTGAATCTGTTCTAGTTCTGTGGCACAACGAATCAGACTGTCAGAAGGATTTCCTTCCTCGTTTGGGATCTGCTATTGAGTACATCTCCATGTCACCTGATGGCACACTCTGTTGCACTTTGCACACAGACAACAGTAAGCCAACACATACTTTAAGAATCACTTAAAGCAAAATGGAATGCAAATCCGTATGAGCTTTATTTTGTAACTGAATTAACTAGATAGTATATAAAAGTTCAGTATTAATCTGAAAGAACACATGCTTGAGGTGATGTTTTGCTTTTTCATCAGTTCTGTGAATTTGCCTGATGACTGCTGTAACATGGCTCTCCACCTTGGTGTATGGGTGCCATAAATCGAGGAAAGATACATTTAGAGGTTTAAGTGCAGTTGGTTAAGGTCCCTTCCCCACCATGAGATGTGGTTACCTTGCAGAAGCCTTTTGCAAGACTTTATCTGTTTTTCCTTTCAGGAATTACAATAATCAACAGCAACCTAAGATTTTCCAGAAGTATTCAAGGACTAATCAAAAGTAAGTGCAGTCATATTTATCTGCCCCTCAGAGGGCAGAACGTGTCACTTTACATCTTGGGTCATTTGTCATCTCATTTTTCTTTCCAGGTCCGGATGTCAAGACTGGTCTGGTGGTTGATCCTAGAACCAAAGCTTTGGTCCTGAACGGAGAGCCTGGCCACTTGCAGTTCTACTGTCTCCAGAGTGACCAACAGCTGTTCAGTGTAAGTTGGATGGGCTTGTACTAAAAGTTTTAACTTGGTCCATCAAGTTAGTTATGCATCAGAATTTATTTGAAGGCTTAATATGGTAAACAGGAAAACAGCCAGTAGCTATACTGCAAGACTGGATTCTGAGCTGAGATGTTTTCAGCTTGGCTGCAAACTTGTTGTTAAGCATAGCTTCACGTTGACAGGTGAATAAGTACTTGAAAAGAGCGTGCTGCTCCTGTTAAATGTCAAATATTTCTAAGTAAAAATCCCTCTAAATATCTTTTTCTCCTTCTTTCCTACGCTTAGCATTATTGTGGAATGTACATGCTCTAATTATGCTTTCCCCACATTTTTTTTTTCTATGCTTCAGCCCAGTCCTCTAAATTTACACTTGAATTTAACTTTGGTTTTGCTGTTTTGCAGTTGGATATTGTGCAACGACAGTACATTCATCAGGCAGGTTTAAAACAAGCCGACTTGGTAAAAGTCGCGTTTAGCGCGCGAGGCAAGTGGCTAGCAACAGTAGAGGAGAGAGAAGAAGTGACTGACCCTGAGTTACAGTTGAAGCTGTGGTTCTATGATGAAGAAACACAAAGGTAACAATAGTAGAGCTGGCCTTCGAGGTGTCAATATCTAAAGTATCACACAAATATCAACACAGGTTTTGTCTTGCAAAGGCAGAGATTTTCCAGATGAACTAATAAAATTCTAGGGAAGACCCTCGGGAGAGTTTTTACCATGCAGGCGACACGCAGCAGGAACCACGCAGAGAGTTGAAGTAAATACAAATTGGAAATAATTGCTCAGAGTCTAATTTATGCATATCAATCAGACAGGCTGCTTTAACCATGGGACTTAAATTCACATACTGACTTGGTATTAAAAGCCATGGACTTGACAGAATGGTTCTATAGCTTGTCTAATCCATCATTCATTGATTAGTCCTTCTAGAGGACAGAAGATGAAGACTTTATTGGGTTTTTTTCTTTGGGGCTACTATCTCTCTTGCTGTATGGAAGTGATTAGAGAAATCCAATCTGCAAATGCGATACCATTTAGCTATGTAATGAGACAGCGGTTTCTTGGATTCCTCTTCTCCCTGCCCCTCCCAGAATCATCTTAGACTGAAATCTTCCGCAAGGTCAAAATGATATGAAATGGCAAGTTTCTGTTTCCTTTTCCTATAGCTTTAAGCTGAATACCAGAATAAATATGCCCCATGATGACCACATAACAGACATGTGCTTCCGTGACATGGATGAATTGGAAGATGACTCTCTGATACTGGTAACAGCTGGCAGAGATTGTGTGTTTAAAGTCTGGATGATGGTAGAAGACACCGATCCGGAGGGTAAGTATGGTCTAAATAACTTGCTTGCTACCTTGTGTCATGCTATAGAAATTCTGACCCTAACCTGGTCCTTTCCGAACCAGGCCCTCTAGTCCCACGCCTTTATCTCTTTTCTGCTGGTGTCACGGAGTATTGTGTTCTCCCGAGCATCCTCTGTGATGGAGTTCTTTCATGGTTTTGCAGTACTATGGAGTGATTGGGAGGTTCCTGATATAGCAAGGACCGTGCTGAGCCTGCTGCAGAACGGAACCGCAGCCTGCGTTGATTTGTTTAAAGGGTTGTTTGTGGTAATGATTTTTCCATGCTGGGAAAACTGCTTTTGTAATTCCTCTGGGTCATCTGTGTATTTGAGACTTCTGCTCAAGCAAGCAGGTTACAGAAATGTTTTATTCTGGTTTAGTTCAGTTAGTGTAAAATCATAGCACTCGGCCTTTCTGCAGCTCCACCAGTTCAGAGCTTGTTTTTTCATCATCCTTCCTTCCTGTTAGATATTTGAATGCCCTAGAATGGATATTTAGGATCCACTCCCAAGATACTTCAGTAGCCAAATTTCACCTCTCAAAATGCATCGTGCTGACATTCACCCATTTCAAACAGAACGTCTGAGGGATGCGTGTCACCCTGTATGCCTTTGGATGCGAAATACAGGAGATTTCCTGCTGCTCAATTTCCTTTTATTTAAATGCTGTTGCGGTGCTGCTTCAGTGAGCTGGAACTTCCCTGCTGCTTGGGTGTCCTATCATCTCATGTTCCTGAATAGACGTGGTCGTGGTCTTGCTGAGCTGCTTGCAATTTAGTGACGTGTTTGTGTTTAGTTGGGCAGGTGAGAACATGTTCAGAGGTGCTTTTGAGCCACAGAGGTTTCCATCTGGGAAACTTAATTTCCCAAATTGACTTTCCAAGCAGTTTGCTCCTCAACAGTGGCTATTCATGAGAAGAAAACCAGAAGCTTGTATTCAATTACTAGGATCTATGCTTGTATTTCACTTTACAGCAGCTCCCTCAATGGCACCTGGAAGAGGTTTATTTTGGGTTTTGACTGCAAATAGTTCTAAGCCTAGATTATATCTTAACTTAAAGAGCAGATACTTTAAGATCTGGAGTACAGTGTGGGCTGGGGATGAAACCAAATGGGGTCTGTTTCCTTCAGCAAGATAGTTTTGTATCTGCTGACTGGGCTCATCAGGTAGTGTGTGTGTTTGTCTTTTAAGGGACTAAACAGGTCTGTTTCATCCTGTAAAAGTAAAAATTAGTGCTGACTTTTGGGGTGTATTTGCCCAGGGAATGCAGGGTAGGAATGCTCAGGTAGAAACACTGAACATGCCTGCAGGCTTCTGTGCAGCAAATAATTAAACTTATTAGTTCATATGTAGAATACACTCCGGCATGTTTCTGTTTGCAGCAGATCTCTCGCTGTGCCTGTAGGTGGTGCCAGGCAGTTTAGAGTAGTGAATAGTTTCTGGCGTTTTTACAGGTGGTTCTTTTAGTCATCAACTAGTAGATATTTATACAGACAATATCTTGGCATAGGGTGAACTTATTTCCTTTCTTTCCTCATCCTACTCACATGTTTCAGTAGCTTGCTGTATGAATTTATTTACACTGGGAAATGTATGTTATGTGCTAAGTAGATCACTTGGCTGTTTGTTTTATGGTGGTTATCAACAACGGGAAGGGTGTCCCGGCTGATGCACTGGCAGGTTAACCAGTGCAAGGACACATGCTTGATGGGTCACGTTGTGGTCCTCAGACTTTATGTCCATGAACTGTGAGCTTTTTTGGGCTCAAATGCAACCTGTGTTCAAAATTTTAGTAATGCTCTTGTGCTTGCTATTGTATTAAAAGAACAGTATGTTTCAGAGTGCTAAAAGTTGAATCTACTTTGGTATGTTTTTTTCTTTCATCTAACATCTGCCTCTTTGAGGGCACAGTTAATGTAGTTGGCACAGTAAACCTGAATATTGTATTGTGTTAATCTCGGGATTCAGTAATCAAATGCAAAACTGAGGACAAATGGAAGACCTACTAGATGTTTCCTGTACTAGAACAGGACAGATTCTCTGTACTCTTCAAAAATGTAAGCCTTCTGAAACAAACCTACCTTGCTCTTGAGCCTATTTTGCAGCCCTAATACTTGACAACCTCTTTCTTCATGTATGAACTTGAATTAACTAGTGTATTTGTTCAATGCAGCACAGCAGAGCGTGAGCTGGAGCTGTGACTTTGTCGGCAGCTACCACAACTACCAGGCTACTAACTGCTGCTTCTCAGAAGATGGCTCTTTGCTTGCTGTTAGCTTTGAAGAAACTGTCACTGTGTGGGATTCGGTTACTTGGGATCTTAAGTGTACATTTTGCCATCCACCTGGAAAAATAAGGTATGTTTTTTTATCTGGCTGTTCATGGCTCTCTGGAACGCTCAGAACGGAAAGAATCAGCTCATAGTAGTCCAAGACCTTGTATATGTTCATATAAACTTTGCATTTAACAGTCTTCAGTTCATACATAGAGAAGGCTCTAAAATGGCTTTTAGGTGGTTGGTACATTACGGTTTAAAAATCAAGCTTTGTAGTTCCATCTTCTTACTTGCCTATGATTCCTGTACCTCCCATACCCAAATACGTATCATTGGGCATGCAGTAGCATGTTAATAGCCCTTCTCTTTTTTCCCCATTAACCTAGGGATGGATCCAGGTACTTGAAAAGTATAAATGTAAGGAGTTTGCTTTTCTTTCATGTACACGTGCATACAAACAGAAGCTGTAACAAGGTCAATATGCCTCTGTGGTTTATTGATGTCTCTACTATAAGATACATACCTTGATCTTTTCAAACCTCTGTTGGAAAATCTGTATTTGCCTGGCAGACTATCCCAGGATGCTCCACTGTGTGCTGTCATGATAAAAGACATTGCCAGTGTCTAGCTACTGTCCTCTTGTGTAAGGATAATGAGGAATGGCATAGGTCAGTCGTAGAGATGAAAGGTAGAGATTCACAAGAATAGGATAGTGCTTCCTGAACTGTGCAAATACACAGAAGTTTCTGATCCAAGTAAAATATAATTTTTCTTATGAGAACTGGAAAAAAATAGGTCAATAGGTGACCTCACTGGTTCATCTACGTAATCTCTGTGCCAGTTCTCTATAGGTTAACAATTGCTGAAACGGGAAGATGTTACAAACCTACTGTAGCATTCTCTTTCAGTGCTAAGGGTTTCCTAACTGCTTCTCCTAGTCATTGCTACAGTAATGTTAGAGGTGTTTCATATATATAGAGGTGTTTCTGTTTCAAGAAACCAGAGAGGGTGGTGAGGCACTGGAACAGGTTGCCCAGAGAAGCTGTGGATGCCCCATCCCTGGAAGTGTTCAAGGCCAGGCTGGATGAGGCTGTGAGCAACCTGGTCTAGTGGAAGGTGTCCCTGCCCATGGCAGGGGCGTTGGAACTAGATGATCTTTAAGGTCCCTTCCAACCCAAACCATTCTATGATTCTATGATTCCATGATTCTATATACCTGCTTCTGGGAAACACCTAAAGTGACAGCAAACCATTGTGTGGTCACAGTGTTTTAAAGACTCTTGACATAATCAAGGAAAGATAGAGATTTCTCACTTCTGTGATTTTGTGTATGTTTGTAAGCTTTTCTTCTGTGTGATCGAGGCTGTTTTGTTCATACTGCTCCTCTAAGATTAGAAACTGAGAAATGCGATTCTAAAACTGCTGTGCAGGAAAATCGTGGGAGGCATCTCTGCTCTTATAGAGAAAACTTCTCTTGCAGTGGCAAACTTTTCCCGGGCCAGCTGGTCCTTTTCTAGCCTTTACTATATGCTATATGAAAAGAAAATAAATTATTGTAGGACTATCTTCAATGACTGTATTATGTGCATTGCTTCAAAGGTGTGTTTTAATGTAGATATCCTCCCCTTTCTTAGCTTTTTTGAAAACATTTTGTAGCATTAGAAATCAAAAGGCAATTCTATTATTCTCAAACAAGAGAATGAGAAAATAAATTGTAGGTGAAAGCAAGTCACTCATTTCAACTGATGCAGCCTACAAGAATGGGGTGTTTTTTAGGGTTTTTTTAAGACTCTTCTCTTTCTAGTGCTTAGAGCAATAGTAGGAATTCTTTATATATGGAATTTATTTTCCAGTCCTAGTGTGAACATTTAATAGTACTTATATGTTTGTAACTTGTTTAAGACCTTAAAATCACTCCTTGGAATCAGAATGTTGTAGGATCACGTAATCCTTACAGATGTATGCATGCTTTCCACTCACACACACAGCCACCAGGTAAGTCTGGGAGAAGTTTCATGCTGCTGGAGGGGAAAGCAAAAAGCAAACTTCTCCTGATTTAAATACCAGAACTAAATCTTAACTAAATGTTTATGTGACTTGTGGATCGTTACTACGTACAGAAGCAAAGATGAATCTGAAGATTGCTGACTTGTTTTGACTTTTTACTTCTGTAGGAACATCTGCTTTGGGAGACTAACATGTTCCAAGTACCTTATTGGTGCCACTGACTGCGGCTTTTTGTGTTGCTGGAACCTGCTCAGTTGTGCATGTAAGATCAGCTTAAATATATACTAGAGTTGGTAACATTCAATACTTGAATTTACTGTGAAGCCTTAAAATAATTCTAGTGTGATTCCAGACTGATCTACTGCAAAATGTCCTGTCAGTCCAGACAGCACTCTGTCTGCCATGCACGTGCTCTATGTGCACGTGGGAAGTAAATCCTAAGTCAGATGACTGATAACAGCTAGCATTTCCTGCATTTGTAGAAGTTGATAATATTTGTGTATTTTGAATCATCTGGGACTAAGTGGCTTGCCTCTTCCAGAGGTTAAGGCCCTGCATGTCATTCTCATTGGAGCTTTTGTTTGGCAAAGTAGTGGGATAGAATTGAATGCCGCCTCTTCATGTCTGGCTGTTGCTGTGTTTGTTTTTCAGTGGAGTGGAGTGCCCACCTCAATGTCTTACTTCTGCAACCTGATCCCCTTTCAGAACATATTGCTGCTGTCTCATGGCTCTCAAAAGAGTCCAGCTGTAAGTACAAAGGCTTCTTTGACACGTAATAGTGGAATTTAAAATCGTGAAGCCATAATTTCTAGAACATGTTTTCTTAGAATTCAGCCCCAGGACAGCCATAAGACAGACTTGAGTCTATGGTTGCACCTGTGTAAACTGAGCTGTGTCGGACAGCAGCAGTCAAGTAAAGCGTGCTGGCTCCTCGTCTCCTCTTCTAACAGTTAGTTTCCGGTACAGAGTATAGCACAGGATTAACATGTTCTCTGGGTGAGGATGTTCTTGACCCTCTCCTGTAAATGCAAAACTGCGGTTGAAGTGTACTGCTACGGTTTAGAGCTTTGACTATAAATTATGATTACTCTTCCTAGAGCCACTGCTCTACAGAAAAGTTAATTTCCCAGTATGTTCTCTGGATGGGAACACTGTGACAGGTACCTTCTAGTATGCCGTAATGCTTCGTGATTAGAATTCCTGCAGGCTGGTGCTTAACGCTGTCCTGTCCAGCCCTTAGTGGCTACCATACAGAGGGTTTGACAGCTGTCTGGGTAGGGAAGAACTTGATGATTTAAACAAAGGATATTCTTGGTTTTGCAGTGTTTGTGTTTAAACCAAACGAGCCACGGCCTGTCTATATCCAGAGAAACCTCTGTAAAGAAAAGATCCAGCTTGCTGCCTTTGTTCCAAGAGATGAACCTGAAATTATTGGCTCGGAGAAATACCTTTGGCTAAGAAGATCCCAACTATTTTTTCTTACGGATACACAAGTAAGAAATGGTGATTGGCAGGTGATTCCTGGGGGAAAAGTCAGCATTATATAAAGGATATAAAGTATTTGATACTCTGATACAAATTCTGAGTCTGCTGTTAGGGTATAAGAATTTCAAGGCAGCGTAAACCATGCTTTATTCTTTATTAAAAGCTTTCAACTGCCAAAAACGGCAGCTTTCAGCTGCAGTTCAAAATTTATTATTTACTGGTTTTCTTCTGCTAATAGTTTCTGCTTCCTCATTCACACAAGAAAGTAGATAATTTGGGAACACTGTCCCTGCTGTTTAACTTGAACAGTCACCTAAGAAGCTGATTTATTTCTGATTATTCAAATGTTTCATAGGATATTCAGTTTTGCCTGTCACTTGTGAGTGGCTGGTGATTTTGTTTGCTTTCCCAAAAAGTCTATATAAAGCCTCTAGGGCCATTCCCACTTCCTTTCAGTTTTTTCATAAAATAAAGAGGAAGAGGTGTGTTTGCCTCTTCCACCTGACTGACAAAACCTTTTGGGCCAGTGGGAAGCTTCTGTAGGCAAGGTATGGCTACATGGAAAGCAGTTTCACATACTAAAACGACTGCATTTCTGTATTTTAGGAGCTGATGACGCTTAGTGCAAAGTCCCTAGAAGAAAGGCTTACACCCTCAAGCAAACAGGTACCTCTTACAGAAGTTCTGAGACAGCTGTACAGAGCAGTTAAATTCTGTTGGTGTTCAGTTTGTTGGGTTCAAATTCCCTTCTGTCCTCAAAATGCACACGCATCCTCAGATGGAGTCACAAGCACCTAGCTGAGGGGGCAGGAATCTGTATTTGCTTATTTTCTGACAGAATGGCTATTTGTAAAAACCTTTTTTAAAAAAAAAAAAGGTAGTATTAGTAAGCTACCCCCTCCTCTTCTCACTTCACCTGAACCAAAAAAGATAGTTTTTTTTAAAAGGATAGTTCTCCTTTGAAAGGATTCAGGTTGCACAAATGAAGCAAAAGCACTTGATGTTTGAATAAGCTCTTTCCTTATCTTGGTTTCTTTAACACTTGGAACCTTGAGTGTGGGCTGACCTGCGCTTTCTGGTGAGGATGAACGGTTGTTGGTTAATTGGGAGTTGTCAGGGAGAAGGAATTTCAGAATTACATTCCAGTAAGTACTTCTGTGGAGCCGTAGTCTGGAAATTCAGTGTTTTAAAGTCACGTTGAAGAAGTGGTTCGTACCCATTGAACAGAATAGAACTGTAGCACTTACTTGATTTGGTTGGTTAGATAAAATAGATCAAAATAGAGGTTAATTCCTTTCTAATACAGAATCCAACAGGCATGTGGTTGTGAAGCAGTCAGTCTCTCTGGAGGGGGGAGAATAATTCGGTACTCAGCTACAGGTATATTGATCTAGGAAAATGCCAGCGGCAAGCTGCCATGTTTTGCTTCCAGTGGTAGAATTAAATCACTCAACTGGCAATGCTAGGGGTATAAATGACCTTTTAATCATAAGTGCTATCTGAAAGCCGTGCTTAACTTTTCTGGCACATGCACCAACTTCCGTATTTGGAAGTTAATTGGTACCTCAACCAACTAAAATCTGGTGTTCTTGAACCCAGCGCCAGATCCCAAAGAGTTTTATTACCCCTGTGTAGGGCGTGCTGAGGATGCCTGACAGAGGGTGAGTATGAAGAGCCACAGGGCTCAGTTGAGTGAGACTTGACTGTGGAGTCCTGTCACCCGGGTGGATTCTGAGTTTTGGTCGCTCAAAATGAGGTTAAACTTAGGTTTGTGACATTACAATTCTACTTAAAACTTTCATCTTTTTCAAGCTGGCAGTAGAAGAAAGTCTGCCGGTGACCCCATTTAGCTTGCTGTTGGGAAAGCACAGGCGTCAGCGATCACAAGAGGGCACAGACCTTGGAAAAGTGATTGTTCGTAATAAGCATGAGCAAGATTCGCCTGCTGTCAAAGAGGTAGGAGTACTTCCAGTAAACGTACAAACAAAACCATGACAAACAACAGCTTTCATAAAGCTTCTGTTCTTCTTTTCAGCTTTTGCACACTCCAGCACACGTTTTGCCATCTGCTTCCTTCCTCTGTCCTATATTTATCAATTCATTGCTCATCTCCAAAGAGAACAAAAGGTAAGAAAATTGAAGAACTCTCCTTTGTTATTATTTTATCTCTGCTTAAAGTATAAAAGCAGGTACTCAGATGTTGTTCATGAATTTAACTTTATTCCAGGGATTTAATCTTTTTAGGGTTATTTTTGGATAAATGGTGGATTCTCAACATTATTTCCTATTATGATGACTTCCTGCTTAATTATTGGCGTTGGTTTCTCGATACACCAAGAAGTTAGTCCTTGGGTTTGATCCTGTTTCTTTACAACTCAACTTCCATTCCTACTTAATTAAGCCAAAATACGAGTGTATACAGCGAACACAATTGTCTTGCTTATCCTACAGTGCATTAATTCCAATTAAATGGAGTAGTCTGATAGGTACTTAGAATGTATTGTATCTTGCTTCTCTGAGATCCATGTGTGCCTCTGGAAAACGAATGCAGGCAGAGGGGTTAGCACTGCAGTCTGGTATTAGGATTAGTATCTTGTCACTTGCAGTGAAGCCAGTGAAGTGCTTGTGGTTTTTTGCAATCTATTCCTTAGAGTGTTTAATGAAACTCTACCAAGGCAGAGGTGAAGGCGTCATCAGTGTCAGCTGCCATTCTGCATTTGCAAAGACCACTGAGGGGATGGCTTACGCTGCCAGTGTTTGCCCAGAAAGAACGAGCAGTTGGAGTAGTTTTTGCGCATGCGTTGTATTCCGCCGTAGCAGCAGCATGGTCACCCCAGCTCTGCTCTGTTGACCAGTATTGCTGGGTGACACCAGTAAAAGTCTTCATGCCACAGCAACAAAACACTGTCAAAAGTCTAATAGAGGGAATAACTGGAGACTTGCATGTAGTTTCAGTGCTGAAGAATTTGGGAGTTCAGTGGCCTGTGTAAATATTTGCACATCTAGGGCTTGTACTTTGACACTGGTAACTAGCATGAATGTGCATTTGAAGTTACACGTAAGGGCTGCAGGGATGAGCTCTTGAAGAATGGTGAGAATGTATCACTGTATAGATTCATTCTATTAATGTTAAATAATTTTATTTTCTTGGCAGTGTAATATTAATGTATTGCACATTTCACCACTTAAATTTTGTGTGTGAGAAATATTTTGTGTTGAAACAGATGATTTCTAGGAGACCAGTACTGTTCTGCCATGCAGGTTATTCCTAATGTCACCCAAAATATTTATACAACAGACATTCAAACCAATAATTACCACATTGTAAATGGGAACTCTTCTACAGAACTTTTTGGAAATGTGCTTTCTACTTCAGCTCAAGTTTAACTCTAAACCTTACGTACCTCCCTATGCTTTAAAAAAAAAAAAAAAAAAAAACAAACCCACAAAAAACAAACCCAAAACCAAACCAAACTTATCTTTCCTAGTAACACTCGAGGTATTATAGCCATTTTTAAGACCAAGTGACCTTTTTTTGATTTGAAGGAGAAGAATGGCCGTGTTGAATATTGTCTTATCTATCAGTGTATCCAATCTTGCAGGAGTGTGAGATTACAAATCTGCCTGTTCTGATGTGTATTGTGTGTGGAGAAAGAAAAATGGTGTGTGTTAAGCTTATTGAAAACAGAGGACACCTACTTGAAAAATAGCTCATAATTGAGATGGCAAGAGGATAGAGCTTCTGAGAGGAAAAAAACAAGATATAATGTTTGCTTACTTATTTGCATAACTTGCCTCCTATAGTATGTGATACTTCAGTATGTCAGAGTACCCATTAATTTAATTAATTGGGTTGTTTCCGATCACCTTCCTCTTTCAGTGCTGAAGAAGTAGCTGATGAAGTAGAAATGGAAAGTGAAAAAACAGAGGATGACTCAGATGAGGAAAGAGAAATTACTGAAATGGAACAAGAAGATACAAGTCCTACGGAATTGTTAGGAGAGATGACTTGTAAACTGTCTAAATCCCAGGAAAAGGAGTTACGAAAAATAAGAAAAATGGACTACAGTTGGATATCAGCTTTCTAAACAGACATCTTGTGTTTTTTATACTCTAAACTGAGGCTTTGTGGATTAAATATTCTTCAGAAAACTCTTTCAAGTCCTTTGGCCATAAACTTCAGGACCCTCTATTTCCGTAAGAAAGGAGACCTTTGGGGGAGGGATTTAAGTTTTGAAAAGCTAGTTCTGCTCCTGATTTATTGCTCATTTTCTGCGACCTTAGAAAACGTTTAACCTGAGAAGGTGTTTTTCCCCTTGCCAAGTGTATTTCGAAGGCTAATAGGAAAACCGAGTTCATTATCTGACATGTGATCAGTTAGCAAAGTGACAGCTAAGTTGCTGAGAATCTTCCCCACTGAAGCTGGGCTGCTGATGCCAAAGCGACAGCAGCAAACAGCTTCAGTTAATTAGACTGCTTCATTAGGGGAAATGAGGATGGTTCCCAGTACTGCTGTATACAGGTAAGTAACAAGTCTTTCTAGCTGTTGAGACGGATGACATACGGTTTAATATGCCTGATGCTAGAATACAGATACCCGCATGGTGGCTGCTGTTCATAGAGCAGAGAGATTCCCAGGCATACGGTACTTCATGTACTGCCTTGAAAACAAAGTGGAAGACCCTTTCCTCCCTCTCTGTTCTAACACCATATACTGGAAAGCAGCGAGGGGCAAAACTTCACATTTGTTTTGGGGGAGGTATCCTAAAACAGGCAAAATCTATCCCTTCCATCCATGTATAAAACACATTGAAATTCATCTGTAGGCATCACAGGCCGCCCAGCTCACACGCTGCCAGGTCAGGAACCATGGCGTCCTCCCTGGCTGCCGCCTACCATGTGCAGATCCCGCCGATCGCTGGACCCTGGCAAGCCTTGCTCATTGGTTTTGATCCATCGAGCTTGTCCTCGTGACAGCTGAGGATGGTGCTGTTAGCAAGATGGCATGATTTTCATGTATAATTGCCATGGGCAAGAAGCTTCCAGAAATAAAAAGCCTTATCTGCATACCCAGATGCAGCAGATGAATTGAGACCCCTGAAGAGGGACAGGGCGCTCACTTAGAGCAGATGGGGACAAAGACCACGGGCTCTAGAATACAGCAATCCACTGTTAACAGCCACTGCACTGAGAATAGCTGTTGAAAACAGCTCCACCAAGAGACTTGGCAGTGCTGGGTTAACAGTGGGACTTGATCTTCATGACTTTTCCAACCTAAATGATTCCATGATTCTGTACTGAGTGCTGAACCTAAGCCAACTATTAGTTTCAAGCTCATTATTATAGAAAAGTAGAAAAACTGGTGCACTTTCTTCATTCTGTAGATTTACAATAGTATGGATGTCAAAACATGAACAGGGGGAATATCAACACACTTCGGTGGGCATTGCCGTGCGTCAACAGCCTGCCTTAGAGTTTGTTTGATGCAACCTCAGGTGAACTGTCTGTGCTAGAAAGGTTTCTGTCTTTTTGCTTAAAGAACATCAGGCTTGGGCTCTGGAAAACAAGTGCAAGTGGAGTGGAGAGATCGATGTGCACGTTGTTTGGAAAACGCTGGCTGCAGCCAAGCCTGGTGTTGTGTCTTTGTGTCAGCCGCACTGAAGTGCAGCTTTAAAGGTAGGGAGGAAATCACAGTATTGGTTAGTGTGGGGTTTTTTACACTTCACATTTCTGCTGAAAGTAACATCCTTTAGTGGAAAATAACCGGGTATGAACAAGAGGCCGTTTAGACCAGTTCAGCACCTAGAGATGCAATTCAGTTTGGTGTTGAGGCAGCAGAGCCGTGTGTCAGGAATCCTCGTCAAGAAAGCATACAGTTGGTAGACTTTCTAACCTTTGTCTTCACTGAATTTGTTTTGCCTTGCTTTGCACACTAGATCGCACAGACCAAGATAGCAAAGAGAGCCCTTACTTTGTAGTTGTGTGTGTATGTTTTTTCTGCTCCAGCAGGAAGCGCGTTTCTGGCTACGAGTTCCGCCGCGTGTCATAGGCGCATTCTGACCAGCCTTTCAGAAAACGTCTTCTGAAAGATTCTGCTGTTACAACGACGAAGGGCTCAGAGGGCTCCAACTCGCCTGTCTGAGCCTGCTTTGGAATGCTTGGTTTTTTAAAAGGGTTCTTTTCTGCTGTTCCTCAGTAGTATTGTTTTTTAACCTTGTGTATTGCAGTGCCCATGAAAGTTATCCGTGCCTTGTGTCAAATCCTAATTTGATTTTTTTGGGTTCTGCTTCTTCCTTCTAAAGGCTCCTTTATACGTTTTTTTATTATTCCTTATCAGAAAGATTTGACGTAAGGCCGTGATTTCTGTTACATGGTAAATACAACAGGTAATAAAATACCTCTGCAACACGTAGAGGTCAGTGTTCAATAACTCTGGGGTGCCTCACGCATCGGAGGACAGTGATTCTCATGGGAGCAGTCACGGCTTTATTTGGGCTGAGGGGGGAATTGCTTAATTCCCCGATTTTCCACTCAGATAAGCACAAGGACCTGAAACTTCAGCAGCTATGGGAAGCATAAAAATAAACAGATAGGCAAGGCCTTCTGAAATACATCACAGCAGTGGGATTTGGCCATTAGCTGCTTCCCTGTGCCACCACTCAGGTGTTGCTCTACACACAGAGAAGTGACCAGTAATTTTAACCCACTGGTTCCAGTCAAGCTTAGTTCCACAGAGACTGAAAGTCACTGCCAAGTGCTGCTATTTTGTCTTTCCAGGCTGGTTACCAGTAAACAGCAGCTCCAAAATACATCCTGGTCCTCGGTGGGCAGACGGGGCAGGAAAGCCACGTGAAGGGCTGGTGTTACTGAACGGTGCTGCCTTCAGTTGTTCAGGAATAGGGGGAAAAAAAGAACAGGCGGACAGATACGGTTGGACTGGATGATCTCTAAGGTCTTTTCCAACCTAGTGATTCTATGATTCTATAACTGCAAAGCGGGCAGCATGTTCTATTATCACCTGGTTCTGTGTATTTTGTGTGTATTTCTGCCTGACAACCCTTTGGCCGTCTGACCTTGGGGGAAACTCTGCCAAATGCTGGTGTGCAACGAGCCTTTTGGAGCATGAGGTAACAGCCAGAATTGGAAACAGCGGAGAATAGGACAGAGGAAAACAACAATTCGACATGTAACTCGGGGGACTTCAACAGACCTTCTAGCCCCCCCTCCTGCCCTGCAGCACAGTAACTGGGGTATCCTTCGTCTGACTTTGTAAACCTCTGATAAACATCATGCTGTCATCTACGTAATCTGTCCAGTGCTTACCTATTCTGACAGTCACAGTTTTTCCTATTAGAAGCAGTCAGTCTTTCCAGTAAAATTTCTATTCATTTCTTCTGTGTTTGTTGTAAACTTTGTTGATGATAATGTTCAGGAAAAAAAAAGAAGACATGCCACTCTTCTACTAAAAATCATCTCCTTTAACCTTTCATTTTTGCTTTTCTCTAGGCCCTTAGAACCTTCAGAATTATCCTCCACACTCCTTTTGGCTTACACATCAAATAGTGTTCTGACTAATTTTTTATAATTTCAAGGGCAAATTTTGTCAGGGTCATTTAATACTGATAAATGTTTCTGCATAGTCCTGAAGCCTGCTTTTTCTCTGTTCTGGCTTGTATTCCTCGCTGGTGACCTTTAGTATCTGTCTTCTTTTGGAGATGGCAGGAGCAAAAGCTGCAGTTGATACCTCAGTGAAGATGGGCACGCGGCATCTCGGCAGGGCAGCGTTCTCAATGGGTACCCCAGCTCGGATCGAACGGTGCGGGCATTAGTTTTGGCCTCTGCACAGCATTTCTTCTGGGAGTTAAGTAGTAGATTGTGATTATTTAAACTGGAATTTAGCCAGGGCAGCAGGATGGGTCACCTCTAGGGCTGCAAAAGACACTTAAGCAACACCCTGAACAGCCCAGGATTTTAACTACTTCACTAACTGAGCATGCCAAGGGGACAACTTGCCACCACGGAGTATCTTCACAAGAAGAAATCATTATCGGATGGCAGGAATCATGAATGAAATCTGCGTTACTACAAAACAACTCAGCATGGGATCCTGACTTCGGAAATCATTGACAAAGCACCCTTCATGATCCAGGGTCACAAAGACATGTGACCAACAACAAGGTAAAGTACTAAATCTTAAATTGCTGCTATAGACAGTGGTCTGAGTGGTATGTTTGATCTGAAAGTGGGTCTAGTCCAAGCTGCTTTTAAAGAACTTCTTAATATTGTTCATAATACACCAAATGAAGCCCTTTAGGTAAATAATGTAGTGTGGCTGTAAGCAAGAGTTACCCCACAGCTTTGGGAATGTGCGTATCAGCAGCTTCTGAGGCTGCAGGTTTCTCACACGCTTTGAATGCGTAAGCAGCCACCACAGAAAGAAGCATTCCCACCTTCCGGCTAACGTCCGCTGCTTCCTTCTGTACCACCCGTGCCAGCACAAGCTGTCATTGCTTTGTGGGGAATGAGGTTGGGGAAAAAGTCTGGCTTACATGGAAACCAGGTAAAACACAAATAAATAGTTGAGGATGTTCACAGAACTACAGCCAATTTCCACCAAGAACAGGGAAGGACTTTTCAAGAGGCTTTTATATGTCCAGGAGATGAGGTTTCCATGTTATGCACCCAACATCCCACTCTTTTTCCCTGTCCCGTGTGCTAGGAGAGTCGCAACCACGCCTAGAGTGTTGTGGAGGGGCGTGCGTTTGACGGGAGACACAAGGCACCTCCGCTCTGACACAGCAGCTCCCGGCTTTCCCTTACACCCTCTTCCTCCTCTCCCAGACTAAGGGGCTAAATAATCAAGCTTCAGAAAAGCAGTGGCCTGCAGTTCCAAGAAAATACTTAGCCTGATACTAGCATGGCTTTAAACTGTTGGGGGGGAATCTTTTCCTTAAGAATTATGAGGTGTTTTTAACATGCAGGGAGGTGCCATTATTGGAGCCCTGACCTTGGTCCTCTGTTGACCTTCACAGAGACAGCAGTGCTGCTAAGTTCGGGCTTATCTTTCATGAACAGACACTGCAGCCAT